GGCTGCGGCGGCGGCGGCGGCTGCGGGGACTGTGCCTGGGCGGGCTGCGGCGGCGGCCGCTGGCCCTGCCCCTGCCCCTGCGGCGCCTGCTGGCCCGAGCTCGCGGGCTCCGCCGCCGCCATCGCGTCCCGGCGCCGCAGTGGTCGGGCCCCGCACACGGCCGCTCGTCCGCCCCGCCTGCACCACCTGCCGGGTCAGCTCCGCCGCGGCCGCTGCCCCCGCCGCCTAGAGCTGCAAGAGAGGTCGCTGGCGCCTGCAAACCACAGGTGGCGGCGCCCACGGGAGTCCGGCAGCTCAGCGGACCTGGCCTCCGCCCCCTCCCCGAGCCGGGAGAAACGTGAATGGAGCCCACGACCGAGAGGAGGGGGAGTGGGAAGCCAGGAGAAGGGGCTGCTAGGGGTGGGGACTGGAGTTTAAATGGCAGGAAGTGACGCCGTGGCCGCCGTTGCCTGGAAACGCATTTTTCTGTGGGCGAGAGGGGCGCACCGGGAGGAGGCGGAGCGTGGGTGAGTCTTTCACACGCGCTTCTCTGCTGGTTGCGAGCTACCCCGGGGAATGGTGATCTCACGCAGCGGCGCAGAGGGAAAAGAAGAAGGAGAAAAGAAAAAAGACTTCCCTCTGGGCGGGTCACTATGCCCAGCCGCCCAACATTTCTTAGCGGGGATGTTGGCTTCGCAGTTTGTAGAGTTGGAGAGTAGCCGCCGGTCATTTACTTTCATGGGGCGGTTTCTGCTGCCTTTGATCGTTTCGAGCTTTAGCATCGTTCGCAAGAATTTCAATGGCTTGGATCGAGTGCAGGGTTTTATTCCATCGCTCACCTTCTCAGATTCAGAATATAGGAAAAGCAGAATTGTGGATTGTTAGGGTTGTCTTTATCCTCAGCAGCACTCCTTTCCAAGTTCTTTACTTCATAGGTGGAGAAACTGACTTGCAGGAGAGGCTGTGAATTGCCCAAAGACACCCCGCTAGATCCCAGATCTTCTGCGTTTAAACAGTGTTCTTAATACCTTATTGGAACCAAATTATATTGTAGTATTTGGAATATTAGGCACCTGCAGGTCTTTGTGCTTCAGTGATATCCCAAATCACTGATGGTAAATGATATCACACAGATCTGAGTAAAAGGAAGTTTTTTTTTTCTCATCAAATTACAAACTTTTGAGAATGAGTAAATTTTAAGTGACTTGGTGTCACACACATTTTTAATGCAATTAACACAGTAAGTACTAGGTGAATGAAATCTCCACATGGCAGTCATTAATTAATCAAGAAAGTTTCATGCAAGAAAGATTTCGCTTAATTTGAAATAATAAACGAGCAAAAAAGGGTCACTGATGTGAAGCGAAATACTCTAACAGCACATTAACTAGTAAATCTGGACACCCCATTTATAACAAAGATTTTGTTTCCCATTAATAGGCACAGAACTTTATTAATAACCATGTAGCCTTTAGTTTAATCAAAAAAACTATAAACAAAACTTGGAATTAAAAATCTGAAGTAAAACATCAAAAATGCAATTAATACAACCACTTTTGAACAATTCATTTGAGAATGGTTATGTCTACGTGATTCGACATTAGCCACGTTAATTGCAAATTAATTTTATTGATTGTTGTCCAATAGTGTTTCTTAAGGAGGTTTTAATTAATTTTAACTTGAAGAGGGAACATTCTGTTATATATGCAGGGACAGGAACTTATAAAAATAAAATTATTGGTTATTTTTGTTTTTTGTTTTTAACTTCTCAATATACATTGTAATTGATTTCCGTGTCCCTTTACCCGTTCCTCTTTCCCCCTCCCTCTTTCCCCTCCCCCTCCTACAGCATATCTGTTCACTTGTCTTAACAACTTCAAGGAATTGTTGTGATTGTTGTGTCTTCTTCCCCCCAACAGCCTTTTGTTATTTTAAAACTTACATTATGTGGTGTCTTAGTCACCTTGGGCTTCCATAATGAAGTACCACAAACTGGGTGGCTTAAATAAAAGAAATTTATTTTCTCACAGTTCTGGAGGCTGCGAGTTTAAGATCGGGGGCCAACAAGGCCCAGTCCTGGTGAGGGCCCTCTTCTTGGTTTGCAGTGTTAAAAATACAGATTCTTGGATCTAAAACCCAGAGATCAAATGAACATGTGATATGAGACTATGATCTGGAGTCTTAATTTTTTTACAGTAATTCCCATGCATACAGTCTTTGAGAAACACTGAATAGCATGATGAAAAATAACAAAATATATCTTTTTCCTAAAAACTGCTAAAGACCAAAGATTGATAATGCAAAATTCGGAAGTTTTTTTTTTATTTTTTATTTTTTAAAAGATGACCAGTAAGGGGATCTTAACCCTTGACTTGGTGTTGTCAGCACCACGCTCAGCCAGTGAGCGAACTGGCCATCCCTATATGGGATCCGAACCCGGGCCCTTGGTGTTATCAGCACCGCACTCTCCCGAGTGAGCCACGTGCCGGCCCTGTAAAATTCTTTTTAATATTGCCAAATCTTTTTGAAATTTCTGCTAATAAAATTATTTTCAAAACATGATTTTTAAAAATCAGAATATAAATAACTTTTAAGAAATGATATTGGTCACTGTTTTGTAATATATTAATCTGACTTTGATTTCTGTATCCTTTTGTCCATGAAGTATACAACTCTCTAAAGGCTGTTGATCACTACACCTATAATTCTTTGTGCCATTTCTAACAAAGGCCTAACAATTCTTACTATCAAAAGCCAGAGTTCAAACCATATCAGCAAGATGTAGGTCAGATTTGTGTATACTATATTAATCCAGTTGAACTAACTATATTTTATTGAGCTGCAGGGTAATAAATGTATGACAGTAATCCTTTATTAAATTCAGATTAATTACATTAGATTAGTTGAACAGATACTGTGATCTATTATAATATTGTTTATATGCTCTTGATGAAATTTTCTTTATTTTTATGCATTCTGGAAGTGCAGCTTTTTAGTTAATTCGTGACTTGACAGAATAATTTATTAGTCCATAGCTCATTGGACTTAGAGTATCAAACATTTGTGGAATTTCACATGTCATTTTGTAAACGTTCAGAATCAATTTAAAATATATACAGTTTTAAACGTTAGACTACAGAAAATTATATGCATGCCTAAGAGCTAATCACTGTTATCTGTTCTCTTCCAATTGCTTGTAAATTCAAGGTGAGAAAAATTTAAAGTGTTTATTTTCTTTTTTTAACTTATAAAGAACATAGGTTTATTTAGCTTATGATTCTGGGACAGCTGCATCTGGCATGGGCCCCAGGCTGCTTCTACTCATGGCGAAAAGTGGCAGGGAGCCGGCGGGTACAAGCAGATCACATGGCAAGAGGAAGCAAGAGAGAGAGAGAGAGTATGTGCCAGGGTCCTATAAACAACCAGCTCTCACGGGAACTAATAGAGCGAGAACTCACTCATTAATCCCCCCTCCATTAATGGGACAGCATTAATCCATTCATGAGGGATCTGCCCTCATGACCCAAACTGCCACATTGAAGATCAGATTTCCATGAGTTCTGGGAGGACAATACATACAAACTCCATCATTCCGCCCCTGGCTTCCCAAAACTCATGTCCCTCTCAAACACAAAATACAATCATTCTATCCCAACAGTCCCAAAAGTCAGCACCAACTTTAAAGTCCAAAGTCTAAAGTCTCATCTGAGACCAAAAGCGAAAGTCCTTCCAGCCGTGAACCTGTAAAAATCAAAAACAAATTTATCTACTTCCAAGATACAATGGTGGAACAGAC